TAGAAGATTGTTAACAACACTGTTGCGAAGCATCTTTGTCAAAGCCTGCGCACCAATATCCCATTTTAAAATTGTAGTAGCTACATTCCGTGCAGGTTCCTCGGGTCAGCTATTCAGTCCACTATGTTTCGTAGTGTCAGATACTTAGTCCACTAAGTAGCTGAGGAAATTTTCCTAAATTAATGTTTTTGCTAGTTTACTTCCAAGAAATGCGGTGCAATTTCGATAGGTTAAATTTTTATTTGGTAGATTATATATAAGCAGTGATTGGACAATATACTGTAGTGTAGCGGTGATTGGACATATATAGTGTAGCAGTGATTGAACAAATATAGTGTAGCAGTGATTGAACAATATACTATAGTGTAGCGGTGATTGGACAAATATAGTGTAGCAGTGATTGGACAAATATAACTTTTTATCACAAACCGTTATTGCCGCTCGTATTCTTCCCGCTAGGCTGAATAACTAAACTCTCAGCGGGGACCAGACTTCATGAGTTCTCGGCACTTCTTATGATTAACCATTCTTCTTTATATATATTGACAAAAACTAGGAAAATACATCCTAGTTTGCATGATCTTGTAATGTTTAGGTAATGAAATGTAATTTTAATTAACGGACACGGATATGACTCGACAGAGAACAAGTACTTCCAAATCCTAGCTTCCAGCCTAATTAAAAACTTAGTGCGTCTCGCATATAAACTTTTTTTGGGAGTTAAGGGTTGAGCGCTGCTGTGGGGTCGATATTATCCTTATTTTTATTACCTTTAATTTTGTAATTGTACATTTTTTCTTTTTAACCTGTAGTGTTGCGCTTTGTTCACAATAAAAAAACGTAAAATCGTAATTAACGGAGTTTTTCTAATCCTATTTGTACAATCGACTTCGCTTGATCTTTCGAATCAGTAGGCAAAGCTCAGCCATGAAAATAGAATAGTGAAGAAATTCATGAAAGTTACGAACATGCAACTTGAAATTCAGACAATCATGTAAATTTGAGAGTTTTTTTGTTCTGAAATGCGATAATTCATAACTACATTCATAAATAGGTAAACCAAACTCGTGCTACAATCCAATATTTAAGAAATTGTTCTTAAATTGCATCAATGAAATAAAATGAAACTGGCTATGTGAAGAAAAACAAACCAACCCCAAATTTTATAAAACTGAAGTCTGATCGTGCAAATGACTACGAAAATGAAAATTAAAAAATCCACGTAAATAAAGAAATCCATGCAAATTAAGAAATCTATGAAAATTAAAAAACCTAAATTAATAATTCAAGTCTACATTGGTAAAGTTAAATCAATTAACACAGGTCCATTTTAATCATGGTTGAATCAACCATGCATTTTAATAAATCATGAGTGTGATCAAATTTTCTACGATAGATTACGCAGAAAATTTCACCATTACTGGGGAGACGCATCTATATTGAGTTGGTTCAAACTGACTTCAAACGACCGAGTGACCGACTATAGTAGAGATAAGATGCGAATGATAGCCGTTTTCTCCCGCATTACACATACACTGATTATTAACTAAATAACATTATAATATTTTAATATTAAGTCGAAGTTTGTAATTAATTCTAGAAAACTGTCCAGGCCTTCCCAACTGGCAACTGATAACTGTTTGTTGTTAAAATAATATACATATTATTGATCAAACACCGAAACATTCGCATGCAATACTCAACCTGATTACAATAATTATTGAGTGAAGGACTCCACATGCCATTGCTTCTCCTCTCAGTGCCTGTAGTTAGTTGGCTTGTTCCATGGAGCCAGTGTAAAGATGTAGTTACAATTGTACGCTTATTTGACCCATTCGACACTTCAGCGAACTCGCCTGCGAACTCGACCGATTCGACACTTCAGCGAACTCGCCTGCGAGCTCGAATGCTTATTTGGCAGTTGAGGTTTGGAGTAAAATCTAACAGAAGTTTTAGCCATTGATCGCATGCCTTCCCTCTTCCTAGATTTACACTTGATTGGAACTGAAAATTCTGGCTGACTCCAAAGAACAATCTGCCATGAACTCTCTTTTTTATTTTATCCGCTACATACATTTAAAAAACTGTGCTCAGTCTGGGAGGTGTGATATATTCATAGGTACCCGAAGTCTTAAAATCAATTATTAAAAAAATTCATTTAAAATAAGACAGCCAACAGACGTAAAAGTAGATATTTTGTCTCATTGCTACGCCTGTTTCCTACGACTGCTGTGCAACTATCCACAATTGAATATTATCAGATAAAAAAATTTGTCTTGTGAAGTTGCGTACGTTACATCGAATTCGGCCCCTCACGCTAGGAATGCACTGTTATTCATAAGTTGTGTTTAGTGTCCTCAGAAGAATTCCAACTCCCAACATTTCGCCTATTCCACCACATTTCAACATGGAGCTGCACATCAAGATATCCACCCAAGGCACCTGCAGACGGGAAGCCCCTACAGGTGCCAGCAGAGGCATTTTCAATGAGTACTGCCTAGAAAATTTGTCTTCTTATGTTCACGTCAATACAGACGGGTCAAAACTCAGTAATGGCTCCACAGCCTCCACTGCTGGCACTGCAGCAGCTATGTTATTTAACAATTTTAACATAGTGGCAAAGCAGAGAGTTTTTTAGACTCTCCCTCAAGTTCATTTTTGGGTCCTATAAGTAGACCAGTAAAGTATCCTGGATACCAGCATTATCATTCATAGTGGCAAACCAGAGATTTTTTAGAATCAGTTCATTTTTAATTTCCTCATTTACCCAAGATTTAAACCAATTTCTTTATTTTCTTATGTAAGATATACATAGTGGCAAACCAGAGCTTTTTTAGAATCAGTTAATTTTTAATTTCCTCACTTACTGACTTACTCAAGATTTATACCAATTTCTTAAGTATGATGAATTCGAACACGTGGATGTCGGCATTACGTATCAGTTAAATGTGAAGCGCTGACGGAATACTGCTCACCAAGTGTCGAATATTGCCACACAAAGTGACGGAATATAGGGATTTGGTAGGTTTCCATTCTAAAGGCTTTTTAATAAATATGGCAACATTTTGTAACGTTTCATCGTTGCCGACGCGTAGTGAGGTGTTTTGAGAGTCACGTGAAGCCAACAGAACTTGCGTAATGCATACGGTTTTTTTTTATAGTTTTTCATTTCTCGATGCGTCCTTAAAGTGTCGGAATATACCGCGTTTACCCTACATAAGAAATTGGTTCAATTCTTGGGTAAATGAGGAAATTAAAAATGAATTGATTCTAAAAAATTTCTGGTTTGTCACTATAGCTATGTATATAGGTACCAAGCTTCCGAAGTGCTACTACCTGGAGCCTGGAGGCTGAACCCAGCTCATACTGTCCTTGGCTCAGAGCTTTTTGCCATTCTCATGGCTCTGCGGTTCTCCTGTTTAGATCCAAGGCTCAACACGCAAAGCATCCTTCTGTATCTGTTGACTGATTCTCAGACTCTCAGTCAGCTTTGCAGGCAGTCAGCAATACCATCAACCCTTCATACAAGGAGTATGTTTACAAAATACAAGATACCTATCATCTATAAAAGGCAGGCTCCCATCATTCTGCAATGGGTTCGAGGGCACTCTGGGGTCCGGGGGCCCGGGGCAATGAAGTGGCAGTGCCACTTCATTGCCCCGGATGCTCTGCCACTGGCAGACAGAGCAGCCAACATGGGTCATAACAATGCCCACTCAGCCTTGAGTACATTGAGCCTGGAAGAGTCCCTCAGGACCCTCACTGACCTCAGAAGCAAACTACACAAGCACTGGACCAGAATATGGAAGGCCTCTGTCACCTGCACTCAGAAGGGAACTTTTCTGAGCAACAACATGGAGGAACCCAGGCTGCGAGCCTGCAACCCTGGCTCTGCCTGAAGTCACGCAGACTAGAGTCTTGAGTGTGCTGCTGCCCGACTCAGGATTGGACATGCTGGCGTCCTAGTCTGGAAAAGTCCTATTTTTGTCTGAAATATCGCGGCTCTAATATCATATAATTTCAGTAGGAATGAAATCTCGCGGCTCGAATGTCATAAATTTTTGTTTGATTAAAAAATCGCGGTTTGCACTTCGCAAACATGTCATTTCATAAAATTTTCAACTTCCGCAATCCGCTCATAGTGGCAAACCAGAGCTTTTTTAGAATCAGTTAATTTTTAATTTCCTCACTTACTGACTTACTCAAGATTTATACCAATTTCTTAAGTATGATAAAGCTGGTATCTATGATACTTTACTGGTCTACTTATAGGACTCAAAAATGAACTTGAGGGAGAGTCTAAAAAACTCTCTGCTTTGCCACTATGCATGATACTTTACTGGTCTACTTATAGGACTCAAAAATGAACTTGAGGGAGAGTCTAAAAAACTCTCTGCTTTGCCACTATGCCGTGGCCATGGATAAATTTAAGTCAGAAGGTATTCTTTGCCACTACGATCAATAATTGCAATGAAGTTGCATTGATATGTTTTGAAAATTTTTTATTATCATCAAATGTTTATGAGTAAATCCCAATAGCAGAACAATAACTTCTTACTATAAAACATTTCATAAACAAGTTTGAGCTCATTTTATAGCTCTTTGCGAGGGCTATCGACCTATCGTATGGTATATTCAAAAAAATTCCATATGCTATTTGTAAGGTGCCAGACACAAAATGAAAGTGTCTCAAATTACCCCTGGGAACCTATGCCAGACTCAATGACCAAAATTTCTCCTGGAATGGTGTTAAATGTGCCAAATAATTATATGAGTAACCATAAAGTATAGCTACCTAGTCTAGAAGGAGTTTAGGCCTGTAAATCTCACTGATGGCTTCGCAATCTTTTCCTACTTACTACAGCTTCTATCGTGATCAATGCCTGCCACGTAGGAACCAGAGGCTTCATTATTTCAATCCTGTTCCTGTTTAATCATCCTGAAATCTCATTTAACTATTTGTTTTTTATATTGTTTTTTCCTTTTAGTTGATAGTTTCAGATCATTTTGCAATCTTTTCCTACTTACTACAGCTTCTAACGTGATCAATGCCTGCCACGTAGGAACCAGAAGCTTCATTATTTCAATCCTGTTCCTGTTTAACCACCCTGAAACCTCATTCAACTATTTTTTTATATTGTTTGTCCCCTTGAGTTGATAGTTTCAGATCACCAGAATGACGCTGTGGGCTAAGACCCAACAGCTTCCTGAAGAAGCACAGTTTAAGGTTAAAGCTGCTTACAGAGAGCACCAGTTTCCTATAGAAGTTCGTCACTACATGGCTGCATGGATTGAGGATAAAATGCAACAATGGTAAGATTCCATTAGCCAAAAATGTGGAAATAGATGTGAGTACATGCTGCCTTCAGATTTTACTTATGCTCCAGAAAACTTTTCTCTGGTCAATTCTAAATATAAATTTGTAATTGATCTGAACATTTTTTGGTTTGAATGACATGGTATAGTTACTGGCTAAGACATATTTTCAATGCTAGCATTAGACTCCTGCAATTTTTAAATGGAAAGTATTAATCATCTTATTCATTTTGTGGCATAAAATTCATGGCATTCTCTTCTTTATAGACTTTACTTGTGTAAGAAGATGTCTTGTTGATAAATGTTCTTTTAGAATGTAAATAAACTAACAATCAAAAAAGGAGTTCAATTAGATCCTTTATTTCTTATAGAGCATTAAAGTGAAATCCCAAGCTTTCCAATTGTATCACCTGAAATATATCTGCTGATATACGTATATCTCAAAAGCAATGGTCAGAGAACTATCAATTCAGAATGCCTGTATTCCTTTAACCCTTTCACGGGTAAGTTACCATATATGATCACTTAAAATCGCGTCACAAAAAGCCTCACCACGGCTTCCTGTTTGTTTTTGAGGCATCCTTATAATGCCTCAGTCAATTGCTAATTATCTGACCATCGTTCTATCTATAGCATCACCAGCTGCAAAGTCCACAAATTGAAATATGAGCATTTAAATGAAGGTTTTGACTCGGACAATGGAATTGACGCTCTTTCCGCATTTTCTTCAAACGGTGGAAATATCAATACATATATTTATTTATTTTGTCAACTTGATTAAATTTAATTAAATTAAATTTTTATGTTTCTAATTTTTCATTTGCATAAACTGAATTTTAATTATAAAGATAAATTTTGTGTACTGATCGCATCTATTGAATTCTTCAAGTGTGATTTAAACCTTCAATAGGCAAAATTTGCAAAAATTCATATAAATAAATATATTGTATACGTAATACTTCTTACTTTCTTGAAATGGTTTCTGAAATTTCAATTTCTGGATATTTCAATGCTTGCCTGCTAGAGGGTTAAGCACAGAATTCATCAGAGACAAGGGGCCATACTTTCTAAATTCGCTAAGTGAACGTAAGTACTTACGCTCCATTTTCTTGTCTACGATTGGTGGATTTTGCTTGAAAGGCCGTCAATGATTGGCTGATGAACTTACTATCTCTTATTAACTTTTTTTTAAAGTATTGGCCCAGGGCCAGTGCAAGTTCACAGTGCAAGTTCAAAGGTACTTCACTTACACTGTTTTATATACATGCAGGAGTGAAGTGGACATCAGTAATGCTGCCAATGTTCAACTCGCCCAAGCCCTCATGTCAGAACTGCTGCAGGAAATTGAGTGCAAGCTCAAACACGAGCAGGACTTCCCCAAGAGGACACGACTGGAGGATGCCGTGTTGCACTTCACTGTGAGATCCCAGGGATAATATCGTTGCATTCTATTATGATATATGTTGCACTAACATTCCAATTATTTTTGTTCTACATTCCACTCACTTGTGCACTACATTCTGCTTACTTTTGTCCTACATTCCAATTATTTTTGTCCTACATTCCACTCACTTTTGTCTTACATTCCACTTACTTTTGTCCTACATTCCACTTACTTTTGCCCCACATTCCACTCACTTGTGCACTACATTCTGCTTACTTTGCCCTACATTCCACTCACATGTGCACTACATTCTGCTTACTTTTGTCCTACATTACACTTACTTCTGCCCTACATTCCACTCACTTGTGCACTACATTCCAGTTACTTTTGCACTACATTCCACTTACTTTTGACCTATATTCCTCTTACTTTTGTGCCCCACATTCCACTCACTTGTGCACTAGGTACATTCTGCTTACTTTTGTCCCTACATTCCACTCACATGTGCATTACATTCCACTTACTTTTGCCCTACATTTGACTCACTTTTGCCCTACATTCCACTCACTTGTGCACTACATTCCACTCATCATTACTCCAGGGGTCCTGACATTGAATCATCATGGCATATCAGATAATATCCAAGCTATTTAATGACGCAATTTAGACATCAGCCAATTGAGAGGTTTGATCAAACCTATTCTAAAATATTACTGTAGGTTTACAGTCTCACAAGGTAGTGTTTTGTCATCTAGAGCTCCATGAATTATCCTAAATGTTTGATTTTAACTAGAAATTTTCTCTTAATAGTGTATAATATGGCAATATTCATATGTACCTATATAATTTCTTTTCATGTCCATGATATTTCTAAGGCTCAATTTTGTTATGTAATACAATTATAAAAAATATGTAATTTTTTGTTATGCAGTCAATCCTTTAGCATTGGATTATTGACAGCTGTGTTGCTGTGTAGGATGGGATAATTAGGGATTAATGGGTTTATCTGGTAAAAGGCACACTCCTAAGTACTTTTTTTTGCCATTTTTTGTCCTGACGTAAATTGCTAAATTTCTGTTGGGAAAACATTGACCGTCATACTAATTGTGTGAAAGAGCCAGCTTGTGGAAGTTACTACGGTAGAAAATAGGTTGATCTACCTGAGGGGAAACTGAGATCTTGCATTGAACCTTCATCACAAAGAATTGTGTTCAAAATAAATTTAATTAATGTCATTAATGAAGTAGGTATACGTACTCAGTTGTGCAATTCAATTCAATTAAAGTCATTACTTAAGACTCTGTCTGTTGTGGTGAATAGCTTCAATGAATGCCATTACTGAAGTATATTATCTCTGTTGTGGTAATGAGTTTCAGTGAATGTCATTAGTATTAGTAGGTATTAGTATAATTATTAATATAATCTTATAATATAATATGATATATTATATTATAATATAATATAATAAGTATTAGTATAATATTGAGGACTTTTGTGTGCAGGCGCAGTACTCCAACAACCCTCTTGCCCTCATCTCCATCATGAGAACATGCCTCAACATTGAGCTCAACCTTGTGCGCCAGCATGAGATGGTAAACTGCATTGTACAGTGTATTGTGCTCCGTGTATAGTGTAGTGTATGGTTTATGATGTATAGTGTATAATACACAGCGTGTAGTGTGTATATGGTGTATGTAGTGTATATATGGTGCAAAGTGTATAGTGCATGGTGTATACTGTAGTGTAGTGTATAATGTACGGTGTATAGCGTTATTGTACATGATCATGTTCAATAATCATGTTCAATTTGTATTAATTGATTTAATTAGTGAGAGTGCACTGCCTGTATCAGTGGGGGATGGCAGGCAGTGCACTTCTGCCACAACACATCAGTACACCATGGCAGATTTTTCAATTATTTCCATCACACAAGTTTGATCGTCATAAGATACTATGATCAAGCATGAGTATATAGATAAATAATGCTATACGTAGTGTATATTAATAATTAATCTAGTCATTATTAGGCCAATATCTATAATGTGCACTGCATGTAGGTATATGTAAGTAATTTATAAATGAATTTCCAGCTGCCAAGCTGTTTCCACGCTGAGTCCAAGTCTTTTACAACCCTGTGCTCTGTCTGTCCAGCTCCTTTTCTTGCTGAGTATAGGGCAGCAGTTGGTGAATATTGATATTTTGTGTGGTGAGGTGTAAATTGTGGTGCATAGGCCATAGGTACACTATATGGTGGTAGAGTGGAGAGTGGGTGATGGAATAAAGAGCAGCAGTTGGTGAATATTGATATTTTGTGTGGTGAGGTGTAAATTGTGGTGCATAGGCCATAGGTACACTAGTATATGGTGGTAGAGTGGAGAGTGGGTGATGGAATAAAGAGCAGCAGTTGGTGAATGTTGATATTTTGTGTTATGAAGTGTAAATTGTGGTGCAGATTGGTGCATTGTGGTTATGGTGCTGAGTGGAGAGTGGGTGATGACAGTGTGATATGCTGCTGCAGAACGGAGGTGCAGCACTCCCCCCAGCAGGAGGCTCCCCCGGTGTTCCCACCAAGGGTACCCACGAGGAGATCATGGAGCAGCTTGCCGCCCTAACCCAGCGCACCAACGACACCGCCAATGACGTCAGGTGGGCCTCGCTTAATGGTAATCTTGGTAATTGCTTAATGGTAATCTTGGTAATCGCTTAATGGTAATCTTGGTAATTGCTTAATGGTAATCTTGGTAACCTTGATATTTGTTTGGGATGTAGCAGTCCCAGGCCACGATGGATCGCCGCCTGGGGCTTTACAGGCTTAATAGTGTTATTATTATTACCATTGTGAGTATTACAAGTGTTACTACTATGTGGATCATGATTACCTGTGATGCTTGGTGCATCATGATTACCTGTGATGCTGCTGCATCATGATTACCTGTGATGCTGGTGCATCATGATTACCTGTGATGCTGCTGCATCATTATTACCTGTGATGCTTTGCATCATGATTACCTGTGATGCTGCTGCATCATGATTACCTGTGATGCTGGTGCATCATTATTACAGTATTGGTTATTATCCTTGCCATGCCAACATTACAAGTGTGGGTAGTCGTTTTATAGTCCTAACTACTCACAAGCAATTATTACATGTTTAGTAGCCTAATAATATAATAGTAGTTTACTACTGCAAAGTTTAGATGCCTGAGATATAGAATGTTTCATTTTTCTTGTGCTGTAATCTTTAGTATTTTAGAGAGTAACTCGTCCATGTACTGCATGTAATCTTTAGTATTTTAGTATATATTATTTAGTATATATTTAGTATTTATTTTTACACTGTAATTTTTAGTATTTTAGAGAGTAACTGGTCCATGTACTGCAGGTTCCTGGAGCAGGAGCAGGAGAGCTTCTGCCTGCACTACCACAACTGCGCCAAGACTAAGGCACAGCTGGCACACCTCAGCAGCCAGCTGCCCATGACGGCACTGTTGCAGGTGCGTGGTGACAGGTGGTGACAGGTGGTGACATGCTGCCCATGACGGCACTGTTGCAGGTGCGTGGTGACAGGTGGTGATGGGTGTTGGCTTCATTACTTCAGTCACCCTGTCACTGGCTAGTGTCAGGGTGACTGAACCCTAGTGACGCTAGTGCTAGTGACGCTCCAATAGCTTAAGCTTCCCAAGAAGTATCTCGCTTCGCCTGTTCATCATATGTTCCCTGTTGTTAATTCTCATGCATTACACTGGTTAAACATATAACATATATAATTATGAACAGATTGAGATTCTATATTAATTGTGACGTCTTCCGCAGGACACGGTGAGGAAGCTGGAGCGTCAAAAGCAGTCGGAGGAACAGGACCTCAGCACCAAGGTGAGGGCACCACCAAGGGCAGCAGCAATCTCTTGCTGACAATATAATAAAAAGATATAATATGAGAATATTTGGTACGGGTGAACAGGCCAGTCGAGAAGAAGTTAAAATAAGACAGCCTTATGAGAAGGTATCTTCATATAAGTACATAATATAATAAAATAATATGAGAATATTTGATGCGGGCGAATGGGCCTACCAAAAAGAAGTTAAAATAAGACAGCCTTATGAAAAGGTATCTTCATATAAGTACCTTATATAATAATATAATATGAGAATATTTGGTGCAGGTGAACGGGCCAATTGAGGAGAAGGTAAGATAAGATGGTAAAGTAAGACAGTTGTATGAGAAAGTATTTTAATTCAAGTACATGAAATAATATGAGAACATTTGTGTGCAGGTGAATGGTCTGATCCAGAAGAAGATAAAATAAGACAGCCGTACAAGAAGATATTTGAATATAAGTACATAATATAATAGTAGAACATTTGTGTGCAGGTGAACGGTCTGATCCAGAAGCGGATGGCGTTGGTGCAGAAGCTGCAAGGGACGCTGGACGCGCTGACGGGGCTGCAGCAGCGCGTGCTGGACCACGAGCTCATCAGCTGGAAGAGAGAGCAGCAGATGGCGGGCAACGGCAAGCCCTTTGATGAGAACAGACTCAACCTTATACAGGAGTGGTGAGTGGTGTACAGGAGTGGTGAGTGGCGTTCAGGAGTGGTGAGTGGTGTACAGGAGTGGTGAGTGGCGTTCAGGAGTGGTGAGTGGTGTACAGGAGTGGTGAGTGGTGTACAGGAGTGGTGAGTGGTGTACAGGAGTGGTGAGTGGCAAGCCGTTTGATGAGAACAGACTCAACCTTATACAGGAGTGGTGAGTGGTGTACAGGAGTGGTGTAAAGTAGTGGTGAGTGGCGTTCAGGAGTGGTGAGTGGCGTTCAAGAGTGGTGAAACACTAAACTTCATTCATTAGTATGACGACCACTCCTTCCAAGCTTTGGTGGTGCAATAATGAGAGACTCTTTGTCTCGCACTCAGCTTCCTGTGTTCGAGCCCCGCTGAGTATGAGTTCTTCTGGGAAGCTCAGCTCATGACCAAGTCAGCCATTGATACAATTCTGGTCCAGGATGCTGAGTAAATTCTTCATTAAAATACGCTGATAAAATATGGACCGAGCAGACCGAAAAGAAGGGTAACTATTATCTACCTCAGAAACTCCCTAGCGGCAAAGACAGTCCCTCCAGCATTTAGGCTCCAATGGATATGTGGAACATGTTATACTATACATTCCCCATCTCCATCTGTGCATAGCTATCGTATACCGACCGCCTGAAAAATTCAATGAAACTCTCGACATAATAGAAACAGAGGTTGCCAACTTAGGTGAACCTTCCCCAAATATTGTGGTTGCGGGAGATTTTAACCTACCACACATTCGATGGCCAAACTTGGACTGTTTAGAATGGCGCCGAAATCAAACCAGAAACCAGGCAACACAACTACTTTGATTCGCTAGGGTACACTTGCAAAGCCAACAGGTTCTGGTGCCAACAAGAGAACATAATATCCTGGATCTATTCTTTACCAGCAATGAAGAACTGGTTGCTGATATTCGTGTTGAGGAGACCACACTGTCTGACCATCGACTAGTGGTGGTCAAGACAACAATTGAGAGGGGAATCCAGCCAAGACCTACACCTCGAGAGGGGCTAGCTGGGCTAAATTTTCATCATCGAAGAACAGACTGGGAAACCATTGGGAACGAACTACTGGAGATCTGAGTTCCTGGAATTAAACGCCGAAGCAATGTACAACAAGCTGTGCGAAGTATTACTGCAGGTATGCGTGCGTCACACGCCGGGAAAAACGACCCCCAAACGCCACATAATTCCGAGGGACAGAAGGATCCTCATGAGAAAACGAGCGAGCTTGAACAACCAGATAACAGCTGCCTCCAGGAATATAGAGAAGCGGCGGCTGGAACATCTAAAGGGTAAAATTAAGGAAACTGAACGACAGTTGCAGGACTCACACGAGGCCGAGCAACAAATTGCAGAGGCGCAAGCGGTGTCTGCCATTCGAGGGAATCCCAAATATTTCTACAAATATGCCCTGTCAAAGGCCAAAATCAGAAAATCAGAGCCTCAGTGGGGCCTCTGAAAAATAACGATGTCCTTGTTGGAGACGACCAGGACATGTGTGAACTTCTGGGAGCGCAGTTTGAAAAAGTATTCAGCGAACCCTGATACTCAAGACGGGAGAACTAAATTGGAGTCATTCAAGAACTTCCAGGGGGGCGGGAGCTGATGAACATAGAGTTTGAAACGTCGGATCTAAAGAGGAGTATCCAAGAATTATCGACATATTCGGCTCCCGGGCCAGATGGGGTCTCTGCAGTGTTAGTAGGTACTGAAAAAACGTGTCGGAGCACTAAAGGTCCCCCTGACTTTGCTCTGGAAAACATCAGTGAGAGAAGGAAATGTTCCAAGTGATCTAAAACTAGGGCTAATAACCCCTATCTACAAAGGAGGTGCGAGAGACAAACCCCAAAATTACAGGCCAGTTACATTAACATCACACGTAATCAAAGTATTTGAGAAGGTTGGCGCAGTACCGTACATGGAAGAGGCTGACCTTTTCAACAGAAGACAACACGGTTTTAGACGAAATCACTCCTGTTTGTCTCAGTTACTGGAGCATCACCGCCAAATCCTGGCCATGCTGGAGAGGGGGCCGGGGTGGACGTGGTGTATATTTGGACTTCGCGAAAGCTTTTGACAAAGTTAACCATGGAGTGCTCTTCAGAAAATTAAGACTGCTGGGAGTCGGAGGTGAATTGCTGGCATGGATCCACAGCTTCCTAACATAAAGACTGCAAGCTGTCGTTGTAGGAGGCTCGAGATCAAGCGAGGCTAGGGTGAAGAGTGGAGTACGGTAGTACCACAGGGAACGGTACTCGGCCCAATCCTTTTCCTCATCCACATCGCCGACATAGATGTGGCTGTGAACCACGCCACTGCATCGTCATTCGCGGACGACACCAGGATACTAATGACCATAACGGACAGGACGGACTGCTAGAGGTTGCAAGAAGACCTCTCTGCAATACCTATATGACTGGGCCCTAGTGAACAACAAGCAGTGCAACGGGACCAAGTTTGAGGTTTTGAGATACAGAGGTAGCGGAAGAGCGGGTATGGAGCACCACTACCTCGCAACTGACAACTCGGAAATCGAAGAGAAGCAAATCGTTCGCAATCTAGAAGTGTAGATGAATAATCAGGTGAATTTTGGTGATCACATAACGGCAATAACATATCTGCAGTCAGATTTCAATCCCTGCGGGAAGGATCACTTTCCGTGGCAGGGCCAAGGCTGTTCAACGCCCTACCAAGGGATCTAAGAGAGGACACGTTCACCCTGGAGACCTTCAAGAGACAACTGGACGTGTTCCTGGGCACAATCCCAGATCGACCTCCCCTGCAACACTACCAGCGGCGAGAAGCAAGCAACAGCATCGTGTATCAGCTGGCCCAAATGAGGGCGGATGAACGATAATCAGAGGCGGTGATCCATCGTGGACTGGGACTGCTACGTCCCAAACAAATACTAAGGAAACCAAGGGGTCGAGGCTTGGATCTTGCAAGTGTCGCTACCAGTTCACGCTGAGCGTGTCGCCCGCTGCAGTGAATATCTTGGGTTGCAACAATAGGGACATTCTCCTTAAAAATATTGAAGCTGCTACGTCTGTACTAACGGAAACCCGGCAACAAATCGTCGCAGAAATTAAAAGCAAAATCTTCGGCCCGTTGAAGCAGACTCACTGGGAGGGCGTGGAGATTGAAGAGCTTAAACAAGCCTTGCTCTCCCTTACTGCTGAATCTGCCTGCTAATAACACATCACATTTTATGCTTTATGGACTCATCATCCATGCCTTACTCCAGGATGTTGAGGAATGTAAACAAAAATGACAGTGATGGTCTGCAAGACGGGGATGGTCGTGGTACTGTTGGCTTATTGCCTTGTAAACCTGACCTGCCACCCCACCCTCCCTTAATTGCTTGTTGCTTACAGCATGGGCACTTACAGCTGTAACAACCTCTCCTGTTGCAGGTGCTGATGACCCCTCCTGTTGCAGGTACTGACCTCCCTCGTGTTGCAGGTACTGACCCTCCCTCGTGTTGCAGGTACTGACCTCCCTCCTGCTGCAGGTACTGACCTCCCTCCTGTTGCAGGTACTGACCCTCCCTCCTGTTGCAGGTACTGACCCTCCCTCCTGTTGCAGGTGCGAGCACCTGGCTGAGATCATCTGGCAGACGCGTCACCAGATCAAGGAGTGCGAGCGCCAGTGCAGGAAGCTGCCCCTCTCCCCCACGGGGGGCGTCGACCTCCTGCCCTCCCTCGACCAGCACGTCACGCGCCTCCTGTCCTCCCTTGTCACCAGGTCTTGTGGCCTCTTGTGGCCTCACTGTCTTCTGGCCTCACTGTCTTCTGGCCTCACTGTCTTCTGGCCTCACTTTCTTCTGGCCTCACTGTCTTGTGGCCTCACTGTCTTGTGGTCTCGCTGTCTTATGGCCTTACTGTCTTGTGGTCTCACTGTCTTGTGACCTCACTGTCTTCTGGCCTCACTGTCTTGTGGCCTCACTGTCTTGTGACCTCACTGTCTTCTGGCCTCACTGTCTTGTGACCTCACTGTCTTCTGGCCTCACTGTCTTCTGGCCTCACTGTCCTCTGGCCTCACTGTCCTCTGGTCTCACTGTCCTCTGGCCTCGCTTTCTTATGGCCTCACTGTCTTGCGGCTTCACTGTCTTGTGGCCTCACTGTCTTGTGGCCTCACTGTCTTGTGGCCTCACTGTCTTGTGGCATCACTGTCTTATGGCCTCACTGTCTTGTGGTCTCACTGTCTTGTGGTCTCGCTGTCTTGTGGCCTCACTGTCTTGTGGCCTCACTGCCTTCTGGCTTCACTTTCTTCTGGCCTCACTGTCTTCTGGCCTCACTGTCTTCTGGCCTCACTGTCTTCTGGCCTCACTGTCTTCTGGCCTCACTGTCTTCTAGCCTCACTGTCTTCTGGCCTCACTGTCCGTTTTTGCCTCTTCATAAAATTGCTTCATTGAATACGCCTTTGAGAAATAGAATGAATCTTAAGTAGCGTTGACAATTCTTGATGTGGATTATAATTAATTTATTTTTAAAATGGTTTAGCTTATGGCTAATGTGACTGTCAGTTTTCATGTTATTTTATACTGCGCAAAATATATCGCATTGAGTTGTGTTATGATCAGTTATAATATTTTGTATGAAAATAAACTTGTTATATAAAAGTTTGCTTCACCCGCAGCACGTTCATCATCGAGAAGGAGCCGACGCAGGTGCTGAAGACCAACACTAAGTTCCAGGCCACCGTCCGCCTCCTGGTGGGGGGCAAGCTCAACGTGTATATGACCCCTCCACAGGTGCGTTATTGTTGCTGGTGGGTTATTATTGCTGGACCCTCCCTCTGGTGGGTTATTATTGCTGGACCCTCCCTCTGGTGGGTTATTATTGCTGGACCCTCCCTCTGGTGGGTTATTATTGCTGGACCCTCCCTCTGGTGGGTTATTATTGCTGGACCCTCCCTCTGGTGGGTTATTATTGCTGGACCCTCCCTCTGGTGGGTTATTATTGCTGGACCCTCCCTCTGGTGGGTTATTATTGCTGGACCCTCCCTCTGGTGGGTTATTATTGCTGGACCCTCCCTCTGGTGGGTTATTATTGCTGGACCCTCCCTCTGGTGGGTTATTATTGCTGGACCCTCCCTCTGGTGGGTTATTATTGCTGGACCCTCCCTCTGGTGGGTTATTATTGCTGGACCCTCCCTCTGGTGGGTTATTATTGCTGGACCCTCCCTCTGGTGGGTTATTATTGCTGGACCCTCCCTCTGGTGGGTTATTATTGCTGGACCCTCCCTCTGGTGGGTTATTATTGCTGGACCCTCCCTCTGGTGGGTTATTATTGCTGGACCCTCCCTCTGGTGGGTTATTATTGCTGGACCCTCCCTCTGGTGGGTTATTATTGCTGGACCCTCCCTCTGGTGGGTTATTATTGCTGGACCCTCCCTCTGGTGGGTTATTATTGCTGGACCCTCCCTCTGGTGGGTTATTATTGCTGGACCCTCCCTCTGGTGGGTTATTATTGCTGGACCCTCCCTCTGGTGGGTTATTATTGCTGGACCCTCCCTCTGGTGGGTTATTATTGCTGGACCCTCCCTCTGGTGGGTTATTATTGCTGGACCCTCCCTCTGGTGGGTTATTATTGCTGGACCCTCCCTCTGGTGGGTTATTATTGCTGGACCCTCCCTCTGGTGGGTTATTATTGCTGGACCCTCCCTCTGGTGGGTTATTATTGCTGGACCCTCCCTCTGGTGGGTTATTATTGCTGGACCCTCCCTCTGGTGGGTTATTATTGCTGGACCCTCCCTCTGGTGGGTTATTATTGCTGGACCCTCCCTCTGGTGGGTTATTATTGCTGGACCCTCCCTCTGGTGGGTTATTATTGCTGGACCCTCCCTCTGGTGGGTTATTATTGCTGGACCCTCCCTCTGGTGGGTTATTATTGCTGGACCCTCCCTCTGGTGGGTTATTATTGCTGGACCCTCCCTCTGGTGGGTTATTATTGCTGGACCCTCCCTCTGGTGGGTTATTATTGCTGGACCCTCCCTCTGGTGGGTTATTATTGCTGGACCCTCCCTCTGGNAATGTTTAATTAAAAACTCTATCGAGATTTCCATACGATTGATAGTTCAATACAGGTGTCGAAATAATTAGTATCTTGCAATAACTATAAATCCTGTCGACGCCTAAAGTAGAAGTAGGACGAAATTCTTTAATCAAACAAAAAGTAGTCCTCGTAATCAAACATGTTGAGCTGTAACTGTGAACATGCGTGCAGGTGAGCGTGTCCATCATCAACGAGCAGCAGGCGAACATGTTGCTCAAGAATGACCTCATGGGCAAGGACGAGCAGAGCGGCGAGATCCTGAACTGCACCGGCACCATGGAGTATACCCAGGTACGGGGCACCATGGAGTATACCCAGGTACAGGGCACCATGGAGTATACCCAGGTATGGGGGCACCATGGAGTATACCCAGGTACAGGGCACCATGGATGGGCACCATGGAGTATACCCAGGTACGGGGCACCATGGAGTATACCAAGGTACAGGGCACCATGGAGTATACCCAGGTACAGGGGCACCATGGAGTATACCCAGGTACAGGGGCACCATGGAGTATACCCAGGTACAGGGGCACCATGGAGTATACCCATGTACGGGGGCACCACTGAGTATACCCAGGTATGGGGGCACCTTGGAGTATACCCAGGTATGGGTGTCACCATGGAGTATACCCAGGTATGGGGGCACCATGGAGTATACCCAGATACAGGGGCACCATGGAGTATACCCATGTATGGGGGCACCACTGAGTATACCCAGGTATGGGGGCACCTTGGAGTATACCCAGGTACGGGTGTCACCATGGAGTATACCCAGGTACGGGGGCACCTTGGAGTATACCCAGGTACGGGGGGCACCATGGTGTATACCCAGGTACAGGGGCACCTTGGAGTATACCCAGGTACGGGGGCACCATGGAGTATACCCAGGTACAGGGCTCCATGGAGTATACCCAGGTACGGGGCACCATGGAGTATACCCAGGTACAGGGGCACCATGGAGTATACACAGGTACGGGGGCACCATAGAGTATACCCAGGTAGGGGGGCACCATGGAGTATACCCAGGTATGGGGGCAACATGGAGTATACCCAGGTATGGGGGCATCATGGAGTATACCCAAGTACGGGGGCACCATGGAGTATACCCAGGTACAGGGCACCATGGAGTATACCCAGGTACGGGGGCACCATGTAGTATATCTACCCAGGTATGGGGGCACCATGGAGTATACCCAGGTACGGGGGCACCATGGAGTATACCCAGGTACGGGGGCACCATGGAGTATACCCAGGTACGGGAGCACCTTGGACTTTTCCCTCTCGCTTTTCTGAGTGTTTGTTTGTCGCTCTCGCCAGCTGCTTATTATACAACATTTGTTATCGACATCATGGGAAATTTACAGACATAAGGTCTAGTGCACATTAGTAATACATCATAATACATGTTTGGGCTGTGTCTGCAGACAACAGTTGTATGGGCTGTGTATGCAGACAACACATTGCAACACATGCATGGTCTGTATTGCAGACCACACGGCAGCTGTCCGTCAGCTTCCGCAACATGCAGCTGCGTAAGATCAAGCTGTCTGAACACCCTAACATGCATGGTCTGTATTGCAGACCACACGGCAGCTGTCTGTCAGCTTCCGCAACATGCAGCTGCGTAAGATCAAGCTGTCTGTACACCCTAACAGATGCATGGTCTGTATTGCAGACCACACGGCAGCTGTCCGTCAGCTTCCGCAACTTGCAGCTCCGTAAGATCAAGCTGTCTGAACACCATCACATGCATGGTCTGTATTGCAGACCACACGGCAGCTGTCCGTCAGCTTCCGCAACATGCAGCTGCGTAAGATCAAGCTGTCTGAACACCCTAACATGCATGGTCTGTATTGCAGACCACACGGCAGCTGTCTGTCAGCTTCCGCAACATGCAGCTGCGTAAGATCAAGCTGTCTGTACACCCTAACAGATGCATGGTCTGTATTGCAGACCACACGGCAGCTGTCCGTCAGCTTCCGCAACTTGCAGCTCCGTAAGATCAAGCTGTCTGAACACCCTAACATGCATGGTCTGTATTGCAGACCACACGGCAGCTGTCCGTCAGCTTCCGCAACATTCAGCTGCGTAAAATCAAGCTGTCTGTACACCCTAACATGCATGGTCTGTATTGCAGACCACACGGCAGCTGTCCGGCAGCTTCCGCAACATGCAGCTGCGTAAGATCAAGCTGTCTGTGAACCCTAACACATGCCTGGTCTGTATTGCAGACCACACGGCAGCTGTCTGTCAGCTTCCGCAACATGCAGCTGCGTAAGATCAAGCGCGCTGAGAAGAAAGGCACCGAGTGCGTCATGGACGAGAAGTTTGCGCTGCTCTTCCAGTCACAGTTCAGCGTGGGAGGCGGCGAGCTGGTCTTCCAGGTGGGGTCTAGCTAGTGTATGGTCTTCTGGGTGAGGTCTTGCTGGTGTATGGTCTTCTGGGTAGGGTCTAGGCTGGTGTATGGTCTTCTTGGTGGGGTCTTGCTGGTGTATGGTCTTCTAGGTGAGGTCTTGCTGGTGTATGGTCTTGTGGGTGGGGTCTTGCTGGTGTATGGCCTTCTGGTGTATGGTCTTCTGGTGTATGGCCTTCTGGTGTATGGTCTTCTGGTGTATGGTCTTGCTGGTGTATGGTCTTCTGGTGTATGGTCTTCTGGTGTATGGTCTTCTGGTGTATGGTCGTCTGGTGTATGGTCTTCTGGTGTATGGTCTTCTGGTGGGGTCTAGCTGGTGTATGGTTTTCTGGGTGGGGTCTTGCTGGTGTGTGGTCTTCTGGTTTGTGGTCTGGCTGGTGTATGGTCTTCCAGGAGTGGTCTAGCTGCTCTTGTTATTATGTTGTCCCTGTTTTGATCATGTTGCGCTTACCAGTAAGATCTTGCAAGTGTAGTTTCCCGTGTGTGGTCTCATTGATGTGTCTGTATACTAGTAATGTTGTGCAACATGGCGCTCTATCTCCATATCATGATTTTATGACCTACTGGTCTGCAATATGGCGCTCTATCTCCATATCATGATTTTATGACCTACTGGTCTGCAATATGGCGCTCTATCTCCATATCATGATTTTATGACCTACAAAAATGCTGTTATGACCATCACTGCTTGTGCGGACGCTGTTATTGTCCTCATCTTGACCCATATCATGACCAGCATATGTTGGTTCATACGACTAACATCATGACCCATATTATGATCATCATGACCAACAATGTTGAATCTTGAATTGCTATACAGGATGTACCCGAACTCAGTTCGCAATTCCTGTGCTCACAACGAGTTTAACTCTTCTGCTTTGATCTGACTCCAGAAGATCTTGTTATAATCATTAGTTAGTCGTCAGGGATACAAAACTGATTTACACTAATTATTTTCTTTATTGTACTCAAAATTTCAAGTTCCCGAAAAGCTGAATATCAAATTTATTTTGTCGCTTGCAATGTTGAAATTTTGCCATTGTGAAAATCGATTTTGACTGGAAATAAGAGCTACGAAAACGCGCTACACTCGAAAATTTAGAACTCACAAATAAATATTGGGCTACTAAATATCTAACATAAATTAGACACTACAAACTCCAAAATACAACAAATTAAATCTTACAAAGCTCATGACCCACTTGTCAGGTATGGACACTGTCGCTGCCGGTGGTGGTGATAGTGCACGGCAACCAGGAGCCCCACGCCTGGGCCACCATCCTGTGGGACAACGCCTTCAGCGAGCAGGGGCGCGTCCTCTTCACCGTACCCGACAAGGTATTCTATAAAATAATATATATTAATTATATTTATCCTGTGCGACAAAGTAGTCGGTGAGAAGGGTCACTACGGTATTTGGATAAGATGAGCCAGTCATTTCTCTGGGTGAGTTTTCTAAATTCGATCGCTTGTTGGTCTTACACGGCATGACCATACACCAAACATTATTATACAATGTATATGTATTAATATAAGATTATCATGCAATTTATTGATATAACATTGTTATACAATGTATTAGTATAACATTGTTATACAATGTGCATTTAAATTACCATTATTTCCTCGCACTGTCCTTTAGTATAAATTGTATGTCTATGGCGCACGGAGGTCGAGCGGCCGTCTGTGTTCTAATAGTTAATAATGCCCGCCTGTTATCAGTGACGCACTCATGGCCGCTTATATTTCACGTCTGCTAGGCGATGATGGGACCCTGGATTAGTTTATTAATTGAGGATTGTGAAGGATTTCTCTTTGGTATGATTGCAAGTTCACTCATATGAGGGGGTTAATAGGGGGCGGCATTACGGCTAATAATGATGTTAATGAGTACGAACTTTCTGAGTAGGGTAATAATTGACTCAACTTATTCTTTTCTAATGATTGGTTGTTGAATGTGTTCGGTGAAATATTTCTTGAATATATACGATATTGCTTAAATATATACGACGATCCTTCTCGCCGGGCTATTTATGGGAAACAGACATTGCATTCCGGAATAATTGAGTCTCTGTACAAATATTATACAAATAGCAATGAATTTATAGTTTTTGGACGAGCCATCCTTACCTAGTTTGTCCTAGCTAAAGGGCTTATCTGTGCTACGTGCTGCAAGTGTTTCATTATATGGACAATGTGACACTTGGTTTTGTCTGAATGCATGTGATGATAGCCGGGGCGGCTATCATCACATGCATTCAGACCAAAGCAAGTGTCATATCGTCCATATGATAGTTCTATATTGTTATATATGGACATATGATAGTGGTTCTAACTCGTTCTGATGCAACACAGGAACCCCGACCTGAGCGACTACTCCGGCATGAGTCTGAGCTGGGCTCAGTTCTGCAAAGAACCTCTGCCTCTACAGGACCGCAACTTCACCTTCTGGGAGTGGTTCTTCCAGATCAGGAAGGTCAGGCTAGGAGTGGTTCTTAGGCGCCCTGTTGCAGGTTCCCTAAGACTCCTAAACTTGCAGGTTCCCTAAGAGTTCTAAACTTGCAGGTTCCCTGAGAGTTCTCAACTTGCAGGTTCCCTAAGAGTTCTCAACTTGCAGGTTCCCTGAGAGTTCTCAACTTGCAGGTTCCCTAAGAGTTCTCAACTTGCAGGTTCCCTGAGAGTTCTCAACTTGCAGGTTCCCTAAGAGTTCTCAACTTGCAGGTTCCCTGAGAGTTCTCAACTTGCAGGTTCCCTAAGAGTTCTCAACTTGCAGGTTCCCTGAGAGTTCTCAACTTGCAGGTTCCCTAAGAGTTCTCAACTTGCAGGTTCCCTGAGAGTTCTCAACTTGCAGGTTCCCTAAGAGTTCTCAACTTGCAGGTTCCCTGAGAGTTCTCAACTTGCAGGTTCCCTAAGAGTTCTCAACTTGCAGGTTCCCTGAGAGTTCTCAACTTGCAGGTTCCCTAAGAGTTCTCAACTTGCAGGTTCCCTGAGAGTTCTCAACTTGCAGGTTCCCTAAGAGTTCTCAACTTGCAGGTTCCCTGAGAGTTCTCAACTTGCAGGTTCCCTAAGAGTTCTCAACTTGCAGGTTCCCTGAGAGTTCTCAACTTGCAGGTTCCCTAAGAGTTCTCAACTTGCAGGTTCCCTGAGAGTTCTCAACTTGCAGGTTCCCTAAGAGTTCTCAACTTGCAGGTTCCCTGAGAGTTCTCAACTTGCAGGTTCCCTAAGAGTTCTCAACTTGCAGGTTCCCTGAGAGTTCTCAACTTGCAGGTTCCCTAAGAGTTCTCAACTTGCAGGTTCCCTGAGAGTTCTCAACTTGCAGGTTCCCTAAGAGTTCTCAACTTGCAGGTTCCCTGAGAGTTCTCAACTTGCAGGTTCCCTAAGAGTTCTCAACTTGCAGGTTCCCTGAGAGTTCTCAACTTGCAGGTTCCCTAAGAGTTCTCAACTTGCAGGTNCTGGCCTGGGGAGTGAGACGCTGGCCTGGGGAGTGAGGCGCTGGCCTGGGGAGTGAGGCGCTGGCCTGGGGAGTGAGACGTTTGCTGCTAACAAAGAAGTGGTCACTTGAATAGACGAGTAGCTGCTATAGAGGAGGCTGGCGTAGAGAGGCTGGAGTTGAGGCTGATTTTTTAGAGAGGGAAGTTGCTGGGGAGGGCAGCGGCCCCTTATCGGCACATGATGCAGACAGGAAATGTATGCATGTGCTCCGTAATCAAAGAATTTTTTTAATGTCTTTTATTTGCTTTGTTGCTGGTTCTGGTTACAGTTTACAGTCTCGTAGGCGTGGTTGGTTGTTGGACTTTCTTCCTCCAAACTCCTCCTTCTGGTCTTGATATAGGTAATTTATAAAAAATATAACTCAGTACGCACTGCAGTGAGTGACAGAGCGCATTTTCTCAAAATCGACGAAAACGTGAAGTCACGGACGGACAGACAGACGGACATGACGAGCACACAATAGGGCATTTTTTTCATAAATGAGAAAGTGCGCTAAAAATATACTATAGCACTATTGACTGATTAGTTATTCCTACATTCCTCCCGTAATTCTGAATAAATCAATCATTATGAAGTTTATTGAATGTTTATCATTTGCAGACATGCGGGACGTGTTCATGCTCCAGCCCTTCACCTCCAAAGACTTCTCCATCCGCTCCCTGGCTGACCGCATCTCCGACCTGGAGTACCTCAACTACCTGTACCCCAACATACCCAAAGACAAGGTTCTAACTACCTGTACCCCAACATACCCAAAGACAAGGTTCTAACTACCTGTTGGAGTGAGACGCTAGCCTGGGGAGTGAGACGCTGGCCTAGGGAGTGAGACGCTGACCTGGGGAGTGAGACGCTGGCCTGGGGAGTGAGACGCTGGCCTGGGGAGTGAGGCGCTGGCCTGGGGAGTGAGACGCTGGCCTGGGGAGTGAGACGCTGGCCTAAGGAGTAAGACGCTGGCCTGGGGAGTGAGACGCTGGCCTGGGGAGGGAGACACTGACCTAGGGAGTGAGACGCTGACCTGGGGAGTGAGACGCTGGCCTGGGTAGGGAGACGCTGGCCTGGGGAGGGAGACGCTGGCCTAGGCAGTGAGACGCTGGCCTGGGGAGTGAGACGCTGGCCTAGGGAGTGAGACGCTGACCTGGGGAGTGAGACGCTGGCCTGGGGAGTGAGGCGCTGGCCTGGGAGTGATACGCTGGCCTGGGGAGGGAGATGCTGGCCTGGGGAGTGAGGCACTGGCCTGGGGAGTGAGACGCTGGCCTGGGGAGTAAGACGCTGGCCTGGGGAGTGAGGTGCTGGCCTGGGGAGAGAGGGGCTGGCCTGGGGAGTGAGGCGCTGGCCTGGGNACATACCCAAAGACAAGGTTCTAACTACCTGTACCCCAACATACCCAAAGACAAGGTTCTAACTACCTGTACCCCAACATACCCAAAGACAAGGTTCTAACTACCTGTACCCCAACATACCCAAAGACAAGGTTCTAACTACCTGTACCCCAACATACCCAAAGACAAGGTTCTAACTACCTGTACCCCAACATACCCAAAGACAAGGTTCTAACTACCTGTACCCCAACATACCCAAAGACAAGGTTCTAACTACCTGTACCCCAACATACCCAAAGACAAGGTTCTAACTACCTGTACCCCAACATACCCAAAGACAAGGTTCTAACTACCTGTACCCCAACATACCCAAAGACAAGGTTCTAACTACCTGTACCCCAACATACCCAAAGACAAGGTTCTAACTACCTGTACCCCAACATACCCAAAGACAAGGTTCTAACTACCTGTACCCCAACATACCCAAAGACAAGGTTCTAACTACCTGTACCCCAACATACCCAAAGACAAGGTTCTAACTACCTGTACCCCAACATACCCAAAGACAAGGTTCTAACTACCTGTACCCCAACATACCCAAAGACAAGGTTCTAACTACCTGTACCCCAACATACCCAAAGACAAGGTTCTAACTACCTGTACCCCAACATACCCAAAGACAAGGTTCTAACTACCTGTACCCCAACATACCCAAAGACAAGGTTCTAACTACCTGTACCCCAACATACCCAAAGACAAGGTTCTAACTACCTGTACCCCAACATACCCAAAGACAAGGTTCTAACTACCTGTACCCCAACATACCCAAAGACAAGGTTCTAACTACCTGTACCCCAACATACCCAAAGACAAGGTTCTAACTACCTGTACCCCAACATACCCAAAGACAAGGTTCTAACTACCTGTACCCCAACATACCCAAAGACAAGGTTCTAACTACCTGTACCCCAACATACCCAAAGACAAGGTTCTAACTACCTGTACCCCAACATACCCAAAGACAAGGTTCTAACTACCTGTACCCCAACATACCCAAAGACAAGGTTCTAACTACCTGTACCCCAACATACCCAAAGACAAGGTTCTACCTACCTGTACCCCAACATACCCAAAGACAAGGTTCTAACTACCTGTACCCCAACATATCCAAAGACAAGGTTCTAACTACCTGTACCCCAACATACCCAAAAACAAGGTTCTTGTCGTGCCCAGGGGATAAGTGCTTCACAGGGACACATTATTCCCTTTACATCGATCGATATAGTGACATCTTACTGTTTATTGGCCATTTTTAAAATTTTTAGTGTACCGTAATTAAAATGTCAACTTGAAGTTCGCTTCTGAAATTGAGATATAACATCTCTTTTCTGGCCATTTTTAAATTTATCTTTAAAAACTTAGGCGATGAATGATAATAGCAAATCCTGAATTGTCAGCGGTTACTTCTGCTTGCTTTGTATTTCTGAAGAAAATCTCAAAACTTTTACATTTTTCGAAATAACAAATAAAAGATCTACTACTATGTTCTGAACTATTATAAACAATGCAATAGATATGCTTCTTGAATTTTCATTTCGAGGCATACTTGTGTAATATCTTGGTGAATGTAATTTTATTTTATTATTGAAAGTTATTTTATTTTTTATATTGTGCAGGCGTTCTCGCGCTACTACACACCGGCGGGCGACTGCACGCGCCCCCTTAACGGATACGTGCGAGCCAACGTCGTCACCCACGTGCCTGGGTACGTTACCGTAAACTGGGGTAACTTAGACCACTTTTTTTTTAAATGATGCCATTTTTTTACTAGATAAGTTAAACTTAAATTGAAACGTGCAAAATACAGATCTATACTCTAGCTTCACTCACCATATGTGTTGCTGATGTGTTGTATATGTGCAGGTTTCCTCGTCACGGGGGCATGGGGGACTGGAGCTCCCCCAGCACACCGGCCCCCGTGGGCTCCCCTCCCCCCCACCCCGGGGGTGCGGCCACCGACCAAACGTACGTCCCCACCCTGTCAGGGTGAACCCCCTGCCATCCCTACCCCTCATTTGCCCGAGGTTGACCACTCTCTATCATCCCTACCCCCCATTGGCCGGGGTGAGCGCCCCCTACCATCCCTACCCCCCATTTGCCGGGGTGACCGCTCTCTATCATACCTACCCCAATGTATGGAGTAAATGTGTCAATAGTGCCATGTACTGTAGAAGAAAAATAGTTCTGCACAAGCTCCTCTGTATCTTGATTTCCATCATGGAAGCTCCTCTGAATCTAAATTTTTGGCATCGAAACATTCATTTAATGCAAGTTCATGAGATATCAGCATGTAATTGCTCTGGGCCTTTACTTTAAAAAAAAGTTAAGAGATCGTAAGTTCATGAGCCAATCATTGACGGCCTTTCATGCAAAATCCATCAATCATAGACAAGAAAATAGAGCGCAAATTCTTACGTTCACTTAGCCAGTTTTGAAAGTATGGCCCCAGATCTTCTACGGTGACTTGTGTGTCCGGGGTCTAAAAACAGACTTGGAATTACCTACAGGTCTTGTTCACATGTCGCGTCCCAATAGAGTTTCATGACAATTAATCTTGCCGTGTATCTTACATCAAAGCTTCCTAAATTGCTTCAACTAGATTAGGAAGGATCATTTCAAACACAAGTTTAACAGATTCTTCCCACTGAAAAAATCTGTAGGGGAGACAAGCCTTTAAACTTATTAATTGCTTGAACTTATTAATGACACAGATATCCAGACTTGCATTCAACCCTGACCGGATTTAGGGCTATAAATCCATGTGGCTAAGATCACGTTTATGCTAGACTCGGATACGTTCACAGTCGTGCCATTCACAATTAAACTTGTAGCGTGCATTGTGCTTGCATGTATCGTAGTTCTATTCCAGTTCAAAGTTATTGCTGCCTACTTTTAAACGCCATATTTCGAAGGGACTGGAACTTTTAGTTTAATTTGTAACTCCCGTTTTCTGACGTCTGGTTTTGTGTCTCATGTTGGACGACATTTTTTTTTTTTTAGCCTAAAGCAGCGTTTAGCGTCATGGCATCGTCAGCAGACATCGTGCCTGTGTTTACTTTAACTAGTGGGTAGCTTTTTTGTGTCGTGCACATTGTAATTCTAATTCAATTACTGTCACCCTGAATTGATACATAGATCTGCACTGCAGCATTAGTGATGATACTCTGCTAACGTTCTATTGTCCACAGATCTGGTCTACAGATGCAACTACCACCCGGAGTCTTCACTGACCAGGAATTTCTAGAAACAATCGACGGTCTTCCTGATGAAGACTTCAGCGACATCCCCATCGACTTCCTCAACGCAATAAACTTCAACGGCAACAACTTCAACATGGACATCCAGTAACGAGAGCTTCCCAGAGCCACAGTCTTCGTCGAATTTCATGGTTTTGACAATAAGACAGTTTGCGAGCGTCTTATAGGTTGTTGATGAGGGCACTTTAATGTTAAAGTTACTTGTGGTCAATCAACGGAAATGAGTCTCTCATTTTCAAGTTACCAAACATGTTATGTGACCTTGTGCCTAGCATTGAATGTTGCAAGGTTCGTTACTCATATTTTGTCTTAAGAATGAAAAGATTTTCGGCTTCTATTTCAGTACCAAGCATATCTCGTAAATTTTTAATTATTAACAATTAGAATTGATAATTCTCTGGAGAGTTGCTTTCTGTCTCGTTGCTATGCAGGATATACAGAGCTAAGCATGACTATCACAGATTTTAATTACTGTTGCAACAATCATTTTTATCGAAAAGATTTTAATGACGGTATTTTTGCGTCTATATGGCACCGAAATGGATTTAGATAAAGAAACAACGGTAGGGACTGATGTCCATCTGCTTGACTGGATGATTTGAACCCAAATCACTTGACTTTTGTTGAGAAGAATAGTTCATTGTTTGTTGTACAGATGCTAGGCTAATTATTGATAAGATGTCGAGTTATTGTACCGCCAGAACATATATTGTATTGTTGGAATCCGAATTGTATTGCTAGAAAGCTAACTGTATCGCTAGCACGTAAATTATATCGCATTAACATTTCCTAGCAAACACACGTCGAAACTTTCTCGTCCCGCCGCGTGTTGGGCATCACTGCCTTGGGTGCAAGAGGAATGCTTTGTGCTGGAGGAATGAGTCATGGGTGAGGCGTGGTATGCTGGAGGAACGAGGCGTGGTGTAATGGAGGAATGAGGCGTGATGTGCTGGAGGAATGAGTCATGGGTGAGGGGTTGTGTGCTGGAGGAACGAGGCGTGGTATGCTGGAGGAACGAGGCGTGGTATAATGGAGGAATGAGGCGTGATGTGCTGGAGGAATGAGTCATGGGTGAGGGGTTGTGTGCTGGAGGAACGAGGCGTGGTGTGCTGGAGGAATGAGTCATGGGTGAGGCGTGGTGTGCTGGAGGAATGAGTCATGGGTGAGGGGTGGTGTGCTGGAGGAACGAGGCGTGGTGTGCTGGAGGAATGAGTCATGGTGCAGGGTGAAGGGTGACTGCTACAATGATCGATTGTCTGATATTAAAGCGGATCTGATTCTTTTCGATGCTTATTGTTTTTGTTCCAAATGCTTGATACTTTCCGCCCTTGAACGGTTCTGATGAACTCGATCAATTTGATTTTTCTTGACTGATATATTTTAAGATCCTGGTCTTTGTGTTGATTAGAAGCTAAATTTGCTGGATATATGCGATTATGTGGGAAACATTCTTTCGGACCTGACATTGTGTGGAAAACGTTCTTTCGGGCCCGACATTGTGTGGGAAACATTTTTTCGGACCCGACATTGTGTGGAAAACGTTCTTTCGGGCCCGACATTGTGTGTGAAACATTTTTTCGGGCCCGACGTTGTGTGGGAAACGTTCTTTCGGGCCTGACATTGTGTGGGAAACGTTCTTTCGGGCCTGACATTGTGTGGGAAACGTTCTTTCGGGCCCGACATTGTGTGGGAAACAAGCTTTTGGACCCGACATTGTGTGGGAAACTTTTCTGAAGTGGATGGGTATGCGACATTGTGCGATATATCCTGCAGGTCTTGTTCCAAAGGCCCACCAGTTAACAATATTATTAACGTAAGCATTACAATAATAGCAGTATGGGTTGACAAACTTTTGACATGAGAGCGTCATTGGCATGCATTAGGGAGATAGTAGCGCTAGACCCTAGTACGTACTACTTGAGGCATTAGTCTAGGCTGTATACTAGCTAGGCTAGGTAATCTTATATGCTCTTCTCTAATGCAGTACCTGGAACTAGCTAATAACGTCCTCTTTATTCGTAAGATTAGCGGCTGATAGTAGTCCTGATGACGGCTGAGATTAGAACTCCGCGCAACTTATAAACTTTACTAACAACATGTAAAATATTCGCTTGTGCTCCGTTAATTATGTCATAGCATCTACACTTAGTAAAGAGAAAGGATAAATTCGACTTCGATATCGAGGCCATCACACCAAGATATTATAAAATTATAACCTACATATGTTGTTTGCTAAATAACTCGAAAGGATTAGCAAAAAACAAATATCCTTATTGCTCATAACAAAATGTGCTTTAGGCACATTTTTAACGAGTTGACAAAATTTGCTGTAGCTCATTTGGTCGTTTGATCAGTTATGGAATCAGCGTAGCAAGTTTATCGATAAGAACATTAAGTTGTGGAATACATTACGTATACATACTTTTCACTTATAATAGCATTTGGGGACATGTGTTGAACTAAGTTGTTGGTCCTTTTCACAAGTCTACGTAGCTGATCTATAATTAGATGTTATGAGAAATTTGGCTGTTGAACATGAGAGTTATAAAGAGTAAAGCGCAATAAGTTTAAGCCACCATCTTTATTGTACTGTTCATGTTGAGCGCTTTTTCTTATCTAAGCCGCCCACTACTGTATTTACTTTGGCTATTTTCATCCAGAAGTCGCGTTGACATGTAAAAGTGATGTTACTTGTTGCAGCTAATAACAAGAGTTTGCTTAGTATGTAATACAATATTTTACTCGTGTTTATTAACTTAGATATTTAGTAACCGTTCATATTGTTCATGCCGACACCAACTGCAGTTATACTTTTATCGATGCACCGGAATACCTTCAAATTTCAAACGCTTGCTTCACGCTTATTAATGTTGTAATTTTCAGAGCAGTTATTTGCCTGTTGCTCTATCCGTACTGTGCATTCATTGTACGGATTACAAACGTGTTGTTGTTACTTATCTGTTGCCGTAGATGTAATGGATGCCGTTAACCTACTCAGTTGCTCTTCTGCCCCGCAATATTATTACAATATCTGAAAGTTTACTCACTTGTTGTTTGTTCAGAGTATAAAGCTCACTACGTTACTCGCTTGTTGTTGTTGCTGCTTCTGTTTAATGGCGATAATTTCTTTGACTGCACGCCTGATGATGCTTTAGTCGACCTGCTGCAACTGGCAGGCTGTACTAGACCTGCAGCAGTTGCCCTGCAGCAGTTGACCTGCAGCAGTTGACCTGCAGCAGTTGACCTGCTATAGTTGGTTCTCGACTTCAGACCCGCAATAATTAACTTGCCATAGATGACCTGTTTAACCTCTCGTGGCAGCAGTTTCATTCGCCCTCTACGAGGTTTTCATTGATAATTACCTACTATTAATGGCTAGCACTAATGAGTAATTGTGAGTTAATAAGAAATGGTTGTCACCGAAGGATACAATTATTGATTATAATTCAGGTCCCATTGATTCGTTATTGATATTCTGTAAAATTGCCGTTAACATCGTCACACTTCGTGTATGTATTAATCAAGGTTAGCCCAGTAATAGCCAGCTCTATAATCAGGTATTAAAAGTGCTTTGAAATTTGAGGATCATTAATTACTTGGATTATTTTTATTTTAAATTTATTTGACATCGAAAATGTGCAAAATATTTCTCTACTTTAAGCGATATTTTGTATAATTATTTTAAAGAATAAGAATACGAGATTTATTGTGTCAAACGTCTGCTCTGTCTGAAATTTGTTTGTGAAGGACATTACAATTTATCTTATCCATGAAAAAATTATTCGGCTTAAGGGGACCGACCGGGCTAAAATTTGAATATTTTGAGTTTTTCTGTTTCTTATCCCATCTTAAAGGTTGTTTTCTTGCGAATCGAACGATATTATGATATTTGTGGGAGGAGATAGATTTTCTGAAGTACCCCTTTTTAGCCGTTTTCTATGAATTTCACGTTTTCTATCAATTTTTTCGAAAAATTCATAGGAGCAAAATGTTTTTTTTTACATTTTACGCATGTATGTGAAGTTTCATGACAATCGGATAATAACTAGAAGTTTTCCGTATGCCCGGTCGGTCCCCTTAATTCGTGCACCCATTCATACCACACCTAGGCAGAGGAAGTGTTCAGCTGACACTGATTGAGATTAATGCTACCAATATTTTTCATCACGTCTCGACAATAGACACGATCTTACCAACCTTTGGTCTTACTTTCAAAACTCGCTAAGTGAACGTAAGTACTTACGCTCTATTTTCTTGTCTATGATTGGTGGATTTGGCTTGAAAGGCCGTCAATGATTGGCTGATGAACTTACGATCTCTTAACTTTTTTTGAAAGTATAGGCCCAGCACGCTACTATTATGCATAACCGAAACAAACGTAGCGATAGAATATCATCGATATGATACATTTCCACAATTGTGTAGAGTTCGGTAGAGCATAAATGTGTATGGCTGACACTAGGTTTGTAATGTCAGTCAACTCTTGTCATAAGTCAGCAACCTCGTGCAAAAATCTCGTTGCTCAAGATGCTTCTAATGTATTTAATGATCATTAAAGAGGCCATCAGTTGTACTAGAGGTTACATTTAATTCATCACGAGTGATAGTGATGGAGTTGTGCACATCGAAAAGTACGTTAAATGCTGGCAATATGCACAGGTTCGGAGACCGTTTTGTGCAGGAATCCTGCGGTCTGCTCTCCTATCAACGACTACGTAGAAATAAGCTATCGTGGCTGCACAAATTTTGCGTAAAGTTGTCAAAATTTTGTTTTATTAATAAATTATATTAGCGCTTCTAGTAAATTTTAGCGCTTCTCCGTCTAAGTTCTTGGATGTGTGGGGAAACATTCATTTTCTGTAATAACTTTAGCTGCACACTTCGTACAAAAGCGCTTGATATTGTTCATGTACGCAAAACGCACGTAAAGGATTTTTCAGAGAATTAACACGTTGACTACGTTTGCTTCATCTTGTACTATTATTTCATTTTTTGTACTGTTTTTAATCAGGGTTGCCAGACGGTCATTTTTTCCGGACAAATTCCGTGATTTAGTTTTTCTCAATTGCATTGGCCAGCTAAAATTTATGATAGGAGTAATTCCTAATTAAATTTTAAATACTGCATAAAGAAAATAAATGGAATTTTTATAGCGGAACCTACAAATAAACTAGCATTTACTGAGTTATTGGCCTTTTTTTCGGATTTGGCCGATTTTAGGTTAACTGGATTATGTACCACTACGTCCTGGAGAAATACATTTCGTGGTACGAATATGTACCACTTCGTAGTCAACGTGTTAAATCTCAACGAGGGATAGTTAGCATCCTAACAACATCCACCAATACACGTTTCATTCATGTCATGTGAACGCACTGGACGTGTGGTGGAAATGTATTTGAAAAAAGTTATAACATTCACATTACACAAGTGAAGTATTTCGAATACTGGCGGTGTTATCGGACATTCGGTGCGAAGGGAACTAGTGGATCAGTGCTCAGCGACAGCGTAACTAACATTTGGCTTTCGCATGCCGCTGTTTGAAAGCGGTGATATCGTGACCAGCGCGCAAGCATTACTTTTATTATGATTTTGTTCGTATGAACATCATCTGCTGGAAACTAATTGTTGCGTATACATCATTTAATCCATTGGAAGATGTTATGTGTAGATAGAATTTAATTCTATCTTGATAACGTTAACCTTAATTGAGCCTACAGTGTTTGATTGTTTGCAAGGTCAGGAATAAAACTAGCAAGAGCTGTAACTTGTACATACGAGGCTGTATTGTGCTAGAAGTTTGTTAGAGTTACAATCCACGGCCAACAGCTTGCAACTTTCAAGCGCATATCTCGCAATTTTCCGCAACTTCCCATCGCTTGAACCGCTTTATTTTTGGCGGCGAATTAAACACTAGAAACTGATGAAATCACCATATGTCTTATAATATTACTCTGTGGCAATTATCTTTAGATAGCTTGTACTTGAGTGTCAGTGTTGGGCGAGGTTCGTTCGTTGCTATTCGCTAAGCAAAGAAGTCGCTTCAGAAATTGTAAGTTCTGAAGCTTGAAATTTAAAACTTGCGATATTAAT